AATAAGGACAAATCACAAGATACTGTTGGGAGAATAGTTTGGAATGAAAACTGAGCCATTTGAGGAAAGCAGGGAAACAACAAAGAATGAATATGTGATTAATAATTTTTACAAGACCTAAAGAGTCAGAGAAAATGTGATAGAAATGGAAACAAGGCAAAGAATATTCAACAGTATAAAAAGTCAAATCCTTGAAGAATAAAAATGACAGTATGTTAAAAAAATAATTTAATAAAAAGTTGTAAAAATTAAAAAAAAATGTATTTACTTATTGAAAAGATCCACTCATACCTGAAAAAAAAATCTGAAACTGTTAATTTTAAGACATAACTTAGAAAAAGTAGTGTACCACAAAGAAAAAGGAATCCTTAGTATCTCCAGGAAAACAGATCAAACAGTTAACGTGGTTCAGAAAAGAGCAGGACAAGTATTTTATATCCAGCCAAGTTGTCTTGTCAGTATCAAGGCTATAGGAAAATAGTTTTAAGTAGGCAAGAACACTGGAAATACTGTACCCATGACGTCTATAAGTTTATATTAATATATAGATTCCTCCATCCAATCAGAAGAAGACTGGGAAAACTTTGATGAAGATTTATTATACTTAATTTTAAACCTTAGACTAAAACAAGAATAAGGATACGAGTACAAGAATGTGAATGGTCTTAACTTGCTATTAAAATAAAACAAGTTTTAAATTGGTACAAAAAATCCAACACTATAGTATACCAAGAACCCCCAAAACACAGTGATTTAAAATTGTAAATTTGCAGAAAAATTAGGAATAAACCCCTAAAATTGAAAGAAAGTTAACGTAGTGATTATAACTATAATTTTGATCAGACCAAAAAGAAAAAAGTTAATTAAATGAGATAAGGGAAAGTTTTTAATAATAGACGTCACAATTCACAATTGCATTGCTTATGGATATCCTAACACTCTGATAAAAACATTGATTTCTGACTTACGTTGGTATTTTCTAGGGCCCCTGTTCTTACCTGGGACTTTCTGATCATTACTCATTTCTCAATATTGTATTCTTGTGTGTACATAAATGAATGTTTTGGAAGTAAAAGATAGACCATTGTTACTAGATATTTAGAACCAATGTATTGTAAAGTCAACGTAATTATATTAAATGATATAAATAAAGTCAATATAATTAAAATATCTGAAAAAAGAATAGAATTATAATGTTTGAGTTTCTTATGAAATTGCTCTTTAGCAAGCAATAATTGAATGGCAATTTTTTGAAGATGTAAAACTGTGTAACATAAAATGAAATAAAATTTAATCTCCAGTCTGACTGATAACAGATTGTTCCAGTTCGATAACAGGTTGAGCTTGATAGGTATTTAGGAGAGATTTTTCAAAAATTGTTTGTTTTACAAACTATCTCCCCCCAAATGGAAATGACTGTTAGATGCCCCATAGGGGAGCCACTTTGTAAAACACAAAAGAAACTTTTACAAATCAATCTTTCTAAAATTATCCTTTGAATTCTGAAACAAAGCTCAGCTGGCTCATTTTGCTTTGGTTCTGTCTCAGTGGTGGGTCAGAACATTCAACAATTGAAGGGCTTTTTTCAATTATACAACAAGCAGCAGGTTTCCATTAAAGCACAAACTCGATCATCTAAATATATGTCAGGCGTTTTTGTTTGTTTGTTTTTATGGGGGAGGGTGGAAATGGAGTCTCTGTCACCCAGGCTGAAGTGCAATGGTGTGGTTTCGGCTCACTTCAACCTCCATATCCTGGGTTCAAGTGATTCTCCTGCCTCAGCCTCCTGAGTAGGTGGGATTACAAGCATGTGCCACCAAGCCCAGCTAATTTTTGTATTTTTAGTAGAGACAGTGTTTCACCATGTTGGCTGGCCAGGCTGGTCTCAAACTCCTGACCTCAGGTCATCTGCCTGCTTCAGCCTCCCAAAGTGCTAGGATTACAGGTGTGAGCCAGCATGCCTGGCCTAGGTGCTCTTATAAATAACGGTAACAGGTAAGTCCTTGACTGATTCATTTATTTCTGATGTTGGTTCTATAATTCTCAAGTCTAATATCCAAATATTTCTCTTATTTCTTAAAATGCTTTCATGTCTTTTTTCTTAAATTTGTTCAAAACTTCTTCAGCCTCCACAATTCCTTCCCAATTGCATAGCAATTAACTTAGCCCATAATTACACGTAGTTCTTTCTATTACTTGTTGATTCCATGACTATCAAGTTCTGTTACCTGGAAGAGGAAAGTTTAAATGTGTGAATAGAAGGATGTGACATTTGAATAGAGATATCAATCTTTATTAGCACTGTTAAAGGAAATCAGAGCCAGAGAGGAGTTAAATTGGTAAGAACAGATTTTATTCAGGAACTATGGCAAAGGATAAGGAAGAACTATATATAGAACTGGTCTTAGTTCCAAATACAGCAAGCACTAAGGGGGATGTATAGCCAAGAAGCAGGATTGGGGTCAGTGGATGGAAAGGTATTAAGAAATATCCAGAAGGTGTGATTCTGGTTAAACAGATTTAATGAGATTCTTTTTGAAGGCAGAGTAATCAAATATTTCTTGAGGAGTGGTGGGGATGAAAAATTTGATCAGGTATTGAGAATAATCCGATATTAATGGTAGGGGATGCTCTCTACACAGATTTAGCGGTATTCTTGCTAAACCTGGGTTGTGAAAAGATGAACATAGAAGCACAAAAGTTTAGGTGTAGGTAAGAAGAGGGTTCAGAGGTGCCTGACAAAAGTCTGGGCAAGGAGCAAGTCTTCATTATTATGATATCAAAATGAAGAAGGCAAAGATCATATATATGTCATAGGATAAAGGCATTCTCATGGATGGAAAGTACCACAGTTACTCTGAGAATAAGATTAGTAGCGATTTGGGCAGTGGTATAAGTTCAGACCAAAAGGCAAGATGAACACAGTTTATAAAAGACCACATATATTAGCATATTATGTTGAAGATTATATTCTTTATTTCAATAGCAGCTGACATGTAAATGTTATAATTTTTTTAAATGATGATGTTGGTACCATTAGAAAAGATCTAATATAAAGAAAATAAAATATTTATGGAGGAAACAATTTCTGGTCTAATTCAATAAAGATTTTTCAAAAGAAATATAAGATTCTGAACTAGAGTAACAGCAGAAAGAATCAAGACATTTGAAAACTTTGTTGGAGTGAAAACTCAAAATTTACAGTGTTTGTATGGAGGATATGATAAACCAGTCAGGGATTAAAAGAGGGAGGCAATTGCCATTTTAAAGCTCAGGAAAAGCGTTTTCAAAATGGTTCTTTACATCCGCTTAATAAACATAAACATGCATTTTATTTCAGTTTGTTTACCTAAGTATTCAAACTTATCAGGTTATCTGTAAGGAATGTTTATTTGCATTTAAAAATTTGCCCAAAGCTGTCAAATTGAGTAATACTTTCATGTAGAGACCTTTTGTCAGTGCAAACAAAGGAGGTAAACAATCGTTAAAGCATAAAGCAGAAATTCTCTTTCACTGGTTCAGTTTCTATTTTTTTACATTTCTCAGTAGGGAAAAGAGTCGTTCGTATAGAATCAGGCTCAATTCCAAATACAGAAAGAACATGTGGCGATTTATAGGCAAGGCTGGGGAGGAGGAAGGTGAGAGGGGAGGGGTTACACCTGTGAATGGAGAAGTCCTAAGAGGAGACATCAAGGGGAGGAAAATTCTTGCTAAAGTGATTTAGCAGGAGTCTTGTTAAAGGTAGGACAGAGTGACCAAATATCAAGTCAGGGAGGATTCTCTCTAAACTAACTTAGCAGGATTTGTGCTACAAGTGGGCTATATAGGCCCAGCCAGAAATGCAAGGACAGCATCCATGTTTGAGGCTTAGTAGAAAAGAAGGCTTAGGATCTTACCTAAAGTTTGCTCAGGGAGAGAGCCTGACAACAAACACACATGCAGAAGTGAGGATAAAAGAAAGATAAGAGCTGTTATACACCATTTTTATCTAAGTTTTTTGCTTTGCTTCAGAGTTCCTTTTGTTTCCTAATAACGGAAATTCACATGAGGAAATCCTCTACAATAGAAATATTGCAAATGTTTTACAAAATCATAGATTTAGAAATCATGTGGGGAACATAAGATTACAGAGAAAAAGTAATGAAAAAGGTGGTCAATAACATAAATTAGGCAACATAAAAGTAACTGAAATGATCTTAATTTTGAACAGTTAATTAAAGACAAAAATCATGTAATTACATATCTTTGTAGCTCATAAGAACTTCAGAGAGTATCTATTTACTCTTAAGATGAAAAACGTAGAGTCTCAGAGAATGTACAGATTTTTGGTGAAAGGGACTTGTCCTTCATTACCAACTATTTAACCAGAGCAGGTCAGGAGGAATTCCGCAGCTGGGTTACATTTTCATTATGCCAAGCGCTTATTTGTACTCTAATACAATTTTTATTGAAATACACTTACAATTCAAACATATTTATTTCAGAGACGTATCTGGCATTATTCAATAGATTTTTCCTTCTACAGATTTTTCCTTCTAGAACTTTTTTTTTGAGACGGAGTTTCTCTCTTGTTACCCAGGCTGGAGTGCAATTGCGCGATCTCGGCTCACCGCAACCTCCGCCTCCTGGGTTCAGGTAATTCTCTTGCCTCAGCCTCCTGAGTAGCTGGGATTACAGGCACGCGCCACCATGCCCAGCTAATTTTTTGTATTGTTAGCAGAGACGGGGTGTCACCATTTTGACCAGGATGGTCTCGATCTCTTGACCTCGTGATCCACCCGCCTCGGCCTCCCAAAGTGCTGAGATTACAGGCTTGAGCCACCGCGCCCGGCCCTAGAACTTTGTCTTATTGTTTTCATTTCATGTGAAATTAAATTGGTCCACTCACACGAACAAGTTCTTCCCCAGAACCTATTAAAAGGTTTGTGAACTATGTTGGTAAATAACTTATTGATGAATCGGTGAATATGTATTAAACAAAATGTATTTTTTTCTTTCAGCAATGACAATGCAGTTTATTAGTCATCAGTTCCCTGATTATCATGACCCTACTATAGGTAAGTAAAAGCCTCTTTTATCCTTTAGCTTGAACAAAGACACTGTGACTAAGTGGCTTAAAAATATTAGAAATGTTGATGGAAAATAAACATAATTTACTCTATGCCCCAGAACACATATACAGAAATTTATAATACGTAAGTTGCCACAACAGAAGCTTCAAGAGACAATATTTGTCCTTCCTTCTTGCCATGTACTCTGGTATTATCTATTCTATTTTATTTCTTTCTGGTAAATGGTGGTTGAAATAATTAAGTGATTTCAGCATCTAATAATGGATATCTACCTGCATTTGAGCAGTTCTCTGAATAATAAAATTGTGCTCTGAATAATAAAATTGATGTGATTATATATGTATTTGGTTATTTGCTCACTTCTGTCAGCCTCTGAATTTTCTACCACAGAGTTATTTAACCATGTTAATAGTACATTTGGAAAGTTAGATATTGACATAATATTATCCATCATCCTCATCTTGATGGTTAGGAACTGACATTCAAGGTGTAAAAACATTGTTAGAGCCAAAATAACAGCCATGTTTTATTCCTCCTATCCAGTTTTCTATCATAATATACTACAGAAGCTTTGCATTGGGGAACAAGTTTTCTCCCGCATTCAAAGCACAAAAGATGTTTTTAAAATTGCTTTATTCATTCAAAAAACTGCATTAACAAATTGGCTGGAGATTTTCAAGCAGAGTCCACCATAGTACTCTTTGTCTAGAAACACACTGGTATTAACACATCAAGCATTGTTTCCCAGAGAGGGGAGCATAGAGCTGTTAAATTCCTCAGGGATGACTGCTTGCCTGGATGGTGAGGTCCTTTAACCACTCCCTTACTTACCCTCTTTGTTCCCTCAGTCTGAATAGCTCTTATTCTCACCCTACTCATGAGTAAGATACTCTAGTTTCTATTCTGCCTATCAAAAAATTTTAATTCAAAATCCTACTTGATGTATTAACATCATTCTACAGATTATACTCCTATATTTCTCCCTGAAAGCCCCCAGAATATTTGCTCGCATACTATTGCTGACATACATAAAACATACTTATTTTTTAATGTCTGATTATTTATTAAGACCACCTCATCAGTTGAAGGAAATCAATTAGATTTAAGTACATGCAATTAGTATATGGTAACCAGAAAGGACTTCCTCAATAAGTTGAGGTTTGTTTCTAAAGAGAAAGTAACAACTTTGTGAAGTTTTAAAAGTGATTAGCTGCAACTGTTGCTTGATAATTCTCTAAGTCTATTTTCTAAATATCTTAATTCTAGAATGCCTATAGCTTTGTACCACACACTGTAAGTTACAGAAGCGGGGAAATCTTTGGAAAAAGCTCTAAATCTTTTATCTTGTTGGAAAATTCAGTAATATAATATATACTTTATGAAGTCAGAAAATCACTCAGTTGCTTATTACTTTCTGTTATTCTTTAAGCTTTGTTTGTATTGGTGTCTCAAAAACCAGCCTCTTGTTCACCAAATTCTCACATCTAACAGCTTCCATAGGGCAGTAGATGTGAATAAATAATAAATGACTCCTTCAAAAGGAAGAAATGAGAAGTATATGATGATGTCTGCTTTAGTTATCCATGAGGCACATCTATCACTTGAGATTAAGATACCTGCACATTCAGTACTAACAGACAGCTAAAATCATACCTTTATCTGGCTATAAATAAAACAGCTTTAGAGGAAGAAGTTTGAAAATGGAAACAGAATACTTTATTTCTTTTGATTCTATTTTCTCATCATTTCATTTCTTGGCTTTTCTAATGGGAATATTGGTTAAAAATTTTCCATTGGTAACCTATTTGCAGAAGGTAAAAGTCTCTAATAATTTACCTTTCACCTGCTTTTACAGTTTCTGCTACATAACTGTAACTCAGCATGGCTGACTTAATGACCCCTCAAGAGGAAAACGTAAGATCCCTTTATCACTGACAAGAGTTAGATATATTATTTGATACCAGTTTTCTTTCCAATGAATAATTGTTACCCCTATTTACTGGCAACAATTTCAACATCAGCAACCAATGAGTTTAGAAGGATAGAAAGGAAAAGCTGATTGGTTAATATCAGGTTACTTCACATTACTGTTTTTGCAAGGGTTAAAGCAGAGGAGACATCGTTTTTACACTGACTCAGGTAGAATGGAATCTCTTGCTTTCAGGAAATATTGGCCTGCTGGGGGGTCTGTTTGCTTGCTTAAAGTTTCAGTTTGGTTTTGTGGCATCTAGCGTGAGCGACTTCATTTTGGTTTGGTCGGGTCTGTTAGGCCCAGTGCAGGAGCTCAGTCCAAAACAGTGAATGGCCTGTCATAAATTTGTTTGACAGTTTAGAGCAGATAATCTCTGCACTTATTTTTGAAAGATGCATAGGAATTAGGCTGGTGAAGAGGAGGCAATGCTAAAGCAAAAAGTACAGGCACCAAGACAAGAGAGCACAACGAGTGGCGGAGCTGGGGCATTTTGGAATCCAGAAGCCCAAGGGTGAAGTAAGTGGCATAATATGCAGAATGGAAAGACAGAGCTAAATACAGTACATTACCAGGCACCAGATTTTTCAAGATCTTCTAGGCCTAGATAAGGGTTTAGATACCTACAGTCTTATACTCTTCTGTGAGAGAAAGATGAATATTACTGACAGCCTGCTTCACTTTTCCCTTTGATAGTTTCAAGGCAGAAAATTTAAACATGCCCCAACTTTAACTAATAGCTGATTTTCTGTAGTAGATGTTTACTTTTTCCAGGATTCTTTCTCATGGTAAAGCACCTCATCCACCAGCATCTAATGCCAGGAATCAAGAATAATTCATGATACTTATTTAAACCTCTACATTAAATCACTCATAAAATTCTCTTTTGTCTACCTTTATAACAGGTCTTAAAACTGTCCCCATTTCTCTATGACCTTTTCGGTAATCTTGTTCTAAGCCACACCCATCTCCAATTTAGACTCGATTTAAAATTGGTTTCTACACAGAACCAAAGCATATCTTTAAAAATATTAATTCGGACTACTTTATTCTCTGTTTGATGGTCGCTAGTGTTGCATTATTTTTAGCATAAAAAATTCTAAGTACAAAGTGAAGACTCTCATGGTCTTGCTGCTATTTCTGTCTTCAGCTTCCACACTTGCCGCTTCCTTCTTGGGCATCGACCACATCCACCTTATTTTAGATCCACAGCTAGTCAAGCCCTTTTCTCTCTTAAGGTATTTTCACCCTTATTTTACCCCAAATGCTCTTCCCTTTTTCACCTACATCTTCGCTTTGTTAACTCACAGTTTTCTGTTAAACTTAAATTTTAATATTGCTTCCTCAAGAGCACCCCTTTTGGCTACCCAAAAATAAGCCTTTTCTTTATGCATTCTTTCAGAATCTTGAATACTTTTAATATCACTTATCTCTATGAAATTAAATAATTATTTGGATAATTATCTGTCTAATCAGTGTCATAAAGGTAAAAAAAAAACCTCAGTATGTTATTACTAGTGTATCTCAGACCTATACAGAATGTTGAACATATAGCAGATGCTAAAAGATATTCCTTAAATGAAAAATGAGTAAGCAAATACATTTGTAGGAAAGCATTAATCATTTTTAGATATTGCTATAGTAACTTTAGAGTCCTGGTGAGCAACTAAACCAATAATGAACCAAGGTATTCTAGCAGTCTTTTATAAAAATTCTCTATGTTTGTTAATGGCTATTTCTTGACCTAAAATGATTAGCAAAAGAAAATTTTTTGAAAAAATTAAAAGCATTGTGCTAATGCCAATCATTCTTTCTTTTTTCTCATCTTACTCCTTCTGCTCTTCTAATCCTTCCTCTTTATTCAATATTAATTCATTAACAAATATTTATGTTTCAGACATTGTACAAAGCAAAGGAGTCAAAGGTGTACAATAATAAGCAAGAATTCTTTCTCATTGAGATTCTTTGCCTAGTTTTATTTCATCATCTCTGAGAGCTGATCATATCTCTTTGTCTAGAGTCCAATTTTTCTTTTTTTTTTTTTTTTGGTCTCACTGCATTAAAATGACCTGACATAATTACATTAATACAGCACACATAAGTGGGTGTTGAACAATGAGAACACTTGGACACAGAGAAGGGAACATCATACACTGGGGCCTTTTGGGGGTAGGGAGGCTAGGGTAGGGATACCAGGGCATGGGGGGATCCGGGAAGGCTAACATTAGGAGAAGTATCTAATGTAAATGATGGGGGGATGGATGCAGCAAACCACCATGGCATGTGTATACCTACGTAACAAACCTGCACGTTCTGCACATGTACCCCAGAACTTAAAGTATAAGAAAAAAAATTTTTTAAATATACAGCACACAATTTAGTTACAATAAAACCCCTTAAGGACCTATCCAATTGTTTCTTAGGGTTGCTTTCCCTGTGGAAAGAAAAAAGCTTTAACAACCCAGGAATCAGTTATGACTTTATTAACTCATTTGCACATACATTTATTTGGTTCTCTGGTGCCCAGAAATTCACAAGACCAACAAGTTTCAAACTATACTTACATATCCTATTTTCAAGGAATACATCCTCTTGTAATTGACTCAACGGAGAATGCTTTTCCTCTTTTAGTGTTTTAGACTTTCAATTTCACTTACAAGCCATGAGAACGGTATAGTACCTTCATCTGAAAGAATTATATTCTTTCCGAGCAATTGGTAAGGACTGCAACAAGCTCTACAAAACAAATAATAAAATGCCATATTTAGTGTTAAGTCTTCCTGAATGATTTGGGCAGATTGAAAAAGCATGGACATCATATAAGCAGCAAAGTGCATCAACAATATAGACAGGTCATCTTGCAGATAGCCTCATGTTCAATGGCTGTTAGACCAGCGTGGAAAAAATGTACCACATTAAGTATACATTTCTCAATATCTCTTGTAGAAAAAAAATACTTCTTAAGCTAGGAATTTAGAGAGAGTGTGTTTGAATTACACTAAAATGACCTGTTTTG